TTCTCGGAGGGGTTGCCGGAGCTTGCGAGGATGCAAGAAGCAGCACAAGAGCAGCTGGTGCTGCACTCCGGCAACCCAAAGCGTTCGCGCATCACGAGCCGCTGGAAGAAAGGCTTTCTCGCTAACCATGTTCCACATGTGGGCTCAGGAGGCTCTTCTTTGCCCCTCGTGCATGCCCATTCTATGCACGACTCGGGATGCACGGGAACATGAACTGCACGATTAATTAAGAGCAGCATGGAATGTGCTCCCAGTATGCTCTCAGTGCTTCCGAAGATGAAAATCCTGCACTTGCTTGTGGTGTTTGTGCAGATGGGCCTTCGAAACGACAGGAGTGAACCTCGACACACGACGGCGACGACCCCTGACACAATCAACGGCGGTTGCTCCTCTCGTTCATAGCTATTCGAAGCTACGTGAGCTGCTTGGTTGTAAAGGTCCTCAGGGCATCTCAGGGCCGAACTTTGACATGAATCGTGCAGCCCATCGTGGCGCAAGTACCGAAGTTGAAGTCCGGCAGACGTACAAAACTTGCCGTCGAAGGATTCAATTCCGAGCTCACCCTCCCCCTTCCGGACTCGCATGCGGCATCCAACCTGCAGTAAGCCTAGGAAGGCGGCATCTCGGAGCCTTCGAGTGTGGCTAGCTGACTCGAGGAAACCTGGTCTGATTAAGCTTAACTTGTAGCTTCTGTAAACAAGTGGCTCATGTTCTAGGTGTGCTGGCAGGCCTGAGGCACACCGCGAACACGACGGCACAAGAGAGAAGTCAATCCTTTTGTCACCAGGAGGAAGCATAGTCAGCAGCAGCCGCCGATTGGTGATGTCCACCTGCTGCGGTGCATCATTGCTCTCTCGGCATGGGCATGAACAAAGATCATGAAGGGACCATTTTTGGAGCCATTATTTTCTTGCTTCTAAATAGGAGAAGAAGAAGTAGTAGCAGCAACAGCAGCAGCAGCAGCACTAGTAGTAGCAGTAGAAGCCGCAGTACCACACTACTGCCACCACCACCACCACCACCACGACTACGACTACGACTACGACTACGACTACGACTACGACTACAACTGCCACTACCACTACCACTACCACTACCACTACCACTACCACTACCACTACCTGCACCTGCACCTGCACCTGCACCTGCACCTGCACCTGCTGCTGCAGCTGCAGGCTGCAGCTG